GCGAGATGAAAGGTCCTCTGAGTAGTAATTGTCTAAATGGAACAGACTCTGGTTATTGTGCAACTTCTTCATCTACTTTATTGTACCTTTATAATTAAATGATGTAATTCCTTTTTTTCCCTTCTTGTTTTCCTCTCGACTAGTGCAGGAAAGCATCTGAGCAACATTGCCATAGGATGCAGATGGACTCTATGGCTTCCACTTTTTTTTCTGGGTCACTACAAGTCATATACAAGGAGGTGTGAGCTGCTAGTTGCCAAAGCAGGACATAAACTCTGCCTTCTCCCAGCCACGAACGGACACTTACCTGCATTTCAACTCTCTGCTTGTTTAGTGGTGGCGGTGGTTGGTTCACTGGGATTTTTTGGTAGGGTGAGGGAATCACAGAATCATAGAACAGTTTGGGTTGGAAGGGACCTTTAAAGGCCATCTAGTCCAACCCCCCTGCAGTGAGCAGGGACATCTTCAACCAGATCAGGTTGCTCAGAGCCCAGGCCAGCCGGACCTGGAATGTTTCCAGGGATGGGGCATCTACCACCTCTCTGGGCAACCTGGGCCAGTGTTTCACCACCCTCAGTGTGAAAAATTTCTTCCTCATATCTAGTGTAAATCTGCTCCCTTTTACTTTAAAACCATCACCCCTTGTCCTATCACAACCGGCCCTGCTAAAAAGTCTGTCCCCATCTTTCTTACAAGCCCCTTTCAGTACTGGAAGGCGGCAATGCCGCTTTTGCTAGAAACTCTGTGGTCAACAGGCACACGGTGGATCTAACAGGATACAGGGAACGCTACGTTCGAAGGGGCGTTGAGCAGCAGGGCTGTTTCATTCACAGAGGAGACTGGACAGACACCTGAGAACTGGAAGAAGCTTAAAGTATTGTGCTGGACAAACCCAGAGCCAGCGCTTCCTGACTGTGCAAGGCTTTAGAGATCAGGAGTGAAACTCTGGTCCTGAGATGCTGAAAGACTTGAACGGATGCGAAACCAGAATCAGAGGACCAGCTTTGTAAGTCCTTCCTTTTTGACTGGTCCTTCTGTACAAGAGAGCTTTCCCTCAGTCCAAGAGCCCATTCACAGGAATAAAGATTATTCAGGTGAGTAAAAGGTAGCAAGAGTGGGCCCTGGGTTTGCATATTCAACTTCAATAATTTCTTTATTGACTGTAATTTCTGTTGTTTCTGGTTTTATTTTTCTGTCATTCATGATAACAAAGAGAACAAATTAACTGTCTAATTTTGATGCAGCTTTAGAATATTCTTCAGCGCTCTGATCTCTTACATCTGCCTCACGAGTATGCTTACTTGTGACAATCTGTTTTAATTCATTGCCTATTTATCTAACTGTATTATTTTCAAATATGCACCTGGGTTCTATGGAAATATTAAAGAAGGGATAGGAGAAATATAAGTAGGACCAACTACTTTATATATGCATTAGTATCTATTGTGTCTATCCATAAGAAATCTGAAGTAACAGATCTCCATTTTTTCTAGTAAAATCCAGCACAAAGGGTTTGACTTATTTGCCAGAAAGTAAAAACTAATAAATACAGAATAGAATCACAGAAGTGACGCAGCCGATTGAGACACAGAACTGGTTTTTAAAACCACTGGCATCGGAATACTGCCAAGTACCGTAGGGCCTGATCCTGCCACAAGCCATTGCCTACAGCTTGTCTTAATTTCAGCAGAGTTCATAAGCAGGGTATTTGCAAAGCTAGTTAGGCTCTTAAAGACTGGTTTTTGTCATCCTTTGATAGACAAACCTACCATTCTCAATACTGGAAGTTTTGCCCAGGGAAAAAGGTAGGATCTGTCTCAAAATAAATGGATCCCTTAGATCCTGTCCAGCTGAAGGAAAGAAAAAAAAAAAAAACAACCCCACACCAACCCTTAATAGCATTTACATTCAATTACATATAGCATTACACACAATATTTGGGGCCAGAACCTGCATTAGTTTGTCCAGCTCCGGAAGAGGTGTGCTAGATTAAATTAGCAGCTGGCAGAGGAAGGAGAGTAAAAGGCCTATATACCAATAACATGCTCTTTTATATGGTATTTGCCCTGGAGCTCATACAGAAACAGATTTCATCTGTGCAGGAATATGTACCCCAGTCAGGGTGTTTGATTACTACAGGTAGAGAACATCTGCAGCTCCTCACATCTGCACAGGGAATGCTTTGCCCAGGCACCCACCCCTGCAACCTCTAACTCCGGACGAGCATCTGCCACGGAAGAAAAAATTGAAAAGCAAGGTGGAGCTGCCAGGATGAACCTGGAATACCTGCCTTGATTTGAACTCATAGCTGCTCTCAATGTCGGCCAGCAACGGCAAATGTTCTTATTCCACTTTCATCATATAGGTGAGGATCGTGAAGAAACAGTCTAGTAGCTGGCCTCGGGTGGGAACAGGGACACGAGCTGACTACCTGTGTAAAGCTGGCTCCTTCTAAGTCAGTGGTTCCAGCATACAAGGATTTTTAACAGATGAGTGTTTTGCATCACTTTTGGTAAGGGAGAGTAAAATCCACTAGTTCTTTTGGATCTAATGAAACGTGAAGTGGACAAGCAATCCTATAATACCTCCGATTTTATTTCTGAGCAAGTCAAACACTTTATTTTATCAAACTGCCATTATACTTGCTTTTTTATGTTTTAGTCTGGAGGTGCCAAAAGCACACACCTCTATAGCATTAGTGCTAACATGTGTGACTCTTCATCACGGCTGAGAGTTATAGTATAGGCAGATCCTCGTTCCAAAAAGACCATCAAACGAACTATAATGCTGGTATTCAGTATTACCAGCCTCCCTCCTTTAACGTTTCTCTCAACATACAATGAAGTTTGTTAAATGTATACCAACAACCTTTACAGGAGGCAAGGAGTCACGCACCCCGATATTTGCACACACCCTCCTTACGTGCGCAATTTGCACTTCGATCTTGGGCCAGCAGCTCTGCAAAGCGGCTACCTGGCCGCCTGCAGACACCTACGTCCAGGAATACGCGTGCAGGAGCGCACGCCGTACCCGCGGCCGGGAACCCTCGCTACCAGCCGAGCGCTGTGTGTTCAGAGTCAGCCCACGCCACAGGCTCGTTCACACGCTCATACGCACACATGGACGCACACGAGCTACAGCCAGACCTTTCGAAGACTATCTTCTCCCGCGTTTAACCACCGCGGCTTGAGCTGCCACATCTTCTCCATGGTTAACACCTCGCAGAGCCGCCGTCACACACACAACCCAGCGCCAGGCAATCGCTGCAGTTTCTGGCAGGACAAACGGACGTTCCTGAACCCAGGACAAGGCAGGCGGTGAAAGGGGAACAAGTCTCACTTATTTCAAGACGAAAAACCTCCCTAATAACTGAAACTCCGCTTGCCAAAGGTGAGCTCTGGTGACATGTTCGCCCGCTGTGGAGGTTGAATTTCTTTGTTTATGCCCCGAGCACAGCCAGCACCCGTGGCAGAGCGATCCAGGCCAGCCCGGCACGTCTGCGCCCTCACCCAGACGGAGAAGAGGAATCCCTCCCTGGGCACTGAAACCAGCAGCAGGGTGCCAGGGTGCTGACAGGCTTTGGACATGTTCACTTGCCCGTTACAAATGGGACTGAAGCCACCAATTCATTTCACAGGGGTTGTTAAATCGCAACTAGACATGCAGGGTCACTAGCAACGGCAGACAGGATCCCAACTAGCGGTCTAGGTTCCCTGCCACACCATCTGTTTGTACTGTTTCGGTGCACAGCTATACCACGCTACTCACCTCTACCGCTCACTTCTAAAACACACGGAACAAAATGTATACATTGGCAAACACATGTGAGAGTATATCCCTCGTGAATAATTAGCTTTAAGCGATAATTCCGCTTTCAATGTCTGCAGAGGGAATTAACGCAGGCTATCAAGGGAGTTTGGGACAGAGAACACACTTAGAAAACAGGTATTTTTAAAGATTGCACGGTGTAAGAAGCAGTGATTTCACTGCGATGGAAATAAACCGCTGGGGAATCATCTGAATGCAACACAAGAACCATGGGAGGGACATGTTATTTTGTTGTATGGAGTAACCATGCCGTGGGTAGCAAAGAAGCTGTCATCCTTTACTGAAACCTTCGTCATCCTGCAAGACCATACATCTTTTGTAGACAGGATGTTTAGGCTGGGTTTTATGCATCTCTCCCCCTCCTATAATTTGGATCAAAGAAACATTTGAGGCAAACTGACCATCACCTTGAATTGATACCTTGGGGGAAAAAAGAAAGACCAAAAGACAAAAAAAAACATAGCACAAAAATGCTGCAGGGAAACAGATGCATCTCCACCCCAAGAGAAAAGGATTCGTTTCTAACACTCCTAATAAATTCATGTAATGTTTTGTAGACATTGAAAATATTCCAAAACATAGCTCAGTGTAAACAGCAAGCAGGGTTTCCTCCAGCCCTTTAGCATTTCTCTTTGTTTACTCTCCATTTGAGGATAGAAAAAGCCTATATGTGAGCACTGCAAATGGTGTAATTGGGGACTGATGGGGCATTCGGTAAGGGAATGAGGAAATACAGATACATGTAGCCTCCAATAAAATAATATGTACTTTGTCTGAGTCACCAGGGTCAAACAAAATTAAAAAAAAATCCAATGTCTGCTTTATTAATACTTTTTATTTGTATGGGGAAAATAATCTGATCCCATGGTGATGGGCAGACTATATTAAGCTTAGAAAGACAGAGACATGAGGGAGATGTTCTGGGGTGTGTCTGCTCTCATCCCCACTGCCTTCTTGTTCCCAAACCCCACGCCTCGGCAGTAGAGACCCCGTGGCAAACTGCCCTGGCCACGCTTTGGGAAGCGATGCCCAGCCAAGCTCGTTCACCCAGCGCAAGGAGAGGTACTTGGCAGGGGATGCCAGCTCCCACCTGTGAGCCCAAACGGCTCTGCTCAGCCTCTGCTCGGCTCCGGAGTGCCTGGCACGTTCATTTGGTACAAAGCAGCCCTTACCTTTGGCAATCAGCTCCTCCAGCTCTTGGTCGAATCCTTGCCGGTGGCATTTCCTCCAGAGCCCCATGTTGGTGGAGTTGTACTGTCTGTTGCACTCGTCGACAGCGCTCATAGCAAAGATCTGCCTCCTGTTTCTTGCCAAGAGGAGTTTCCCTTCCCAGCGGTCCAACCTAGACCTGCTGGCCCTGAGAGGCAGGTTGTTGTTGGAGTTATAAATGAAGCCAGGATCATTTCTCTTAGTGGTGATGCTCTTGCACCTCTCCCTGTGCTTCCTGGCATCAGTTTCGTACCAATGGTCAGAGCAGATTGCCACAGCCAGCATGCCCAGGGCACACAGAGCTAAAGAGAGGCCAGCATACAGCAGTAACCTTCCAGCAGCCATACCTCAGCTTCACAGAAACACCATGGGCATCTTCACAACAGGCAAAGCCCTTGAGTGTGAGGCCACGCAACAGCCTCCGGAGCAGCTGCAAGGTGTCACTTGGCAGAGGCTGCCTCAAACATCCCCAACTCCCGTGGCTCACATCCACGCTGCGGAGGGATGCTGGGTGCTACAAAGTTCTGCTCTGGAGGCAGTCCTGGAGCCTCATCTGCCTCTTCTCCTCTGCGGAGGAGAACTGGCGAGGAGAAACGCAGCCTTCCACCTCGCTGGGGAGCCAGCCACCCACCTATACAAAGATGTCCTGCTCCTCTCACCACCAGCACCCGAGCAAGAGGGGCGGAAGGGATACAGCCCCCGGAAGGGACCCGACAGCTACGGCTGTTTGGTCAGTCCGTTAATCTCTTTCAAGCCGGCCAGCCCAGAAATCCAGCAGAGACGGCTTTCAGACCCGCAGGCTCACCGCAGCACCATCACAGGACAGAAAAGTTCCGCAGCTGGAGGCCTCCCGCTTGCGGGGCGGCCGCTTCCCCCGGCTGCGGGAGCGGGTGACTTGTCCCCCCTTCGTCAGCGGCTCAGCAAGAGCATCGTCTGGGCGGGCGGTCGCTTGGCGGGGTTTAAAGCGGGGTCGAAGGGGAGGGAGCAAGAAGGGGGAGCAATCTGTTGTCGCTGCTGCTGCTGCTGCTGCTTTAAACCG